GCCACCGAAAGCGGCCCGAGCCGCGAGACACGTCCCACCGCCGGCGTGGGGCGTGTCTCGCGCACGCCCCACGCCGGCGGCCAGGTGCGCTGCGCGCCCCTCGGCACGCGGCCCGGTAGCGCGCCGCGGGACGGCGGCGGCGCGGCGCCGGCGCGGCGCCTGCTGCGCGGGAAGTGCGCCGATAGCGGCCCGGGCGGCGCGCGGCGCACCTCGCCGCCCGGCCGGCGGCGTGACGCACGCTGGGCCCGTATCAGCACGGCAGGCGTGCAGCGAACGGACGGCATGGAGCGGCGGGCGGACGGCCGGCGGTTGGGGGTGTGGGCGGCGGCGGGGGGCGGGGGGCTGAACGGGTCGCGATTTGGGCGGTGGCGGCCACGCCCCCGTCGGCCTTGGTGAGTCGGCCGCCAGATTTCCTGTCAGCGCACCGAGCTGCTGAGGTCGACGGCGTCCCCACCCTTGGTGGAGAGCAAGAGTCTGCGAAAGTTTCCTGCGTCGAGAATCGAACCCACACCAGTCGCTGCCGCTCACTCGCCCGGACCGCGCACCTCACCGCTGCCGTCGCCCCCACCCGCCGCCGGTGACTGCACCGACGTCCGTCAGCCGTGGCGACGTAACGGGCCGCGGCGGCTTCCGGCGGGTGCCGGCCGCGCGGACCGGGGGCAGGCGGCGGCGGCGGCGGCGGCGGAGGGAGGCGGGGGGGGGGGGGGGGGGCGGGGGCACCGCAGAGGCGCCGGCCGGGGCCGACCCGGCGCCAGGCGTCGGCCGCGGGGACGGACCGCAACAGAGAGCCAGCGCGAGGATTTAGGAATGAGCTGCGGCACCGCCGAGGTCTCGGCCGCTGAGATCTCGGCCGCCGAGGTCTCGGCCGCTGAGATCTGAGATCGATCACCACCCGAGCACAGTCACGCGGCCAGGGCCGATTTACTGCTCGACTGAGCGAGCTGCTGCCTGAGGAGAAGCGATCACTTCGATCCGCGGATGCCACGAGGAAGTTTGCAATCTGTTCCCTCGCGCGGCTCAAACACACCAGCCCGTCACCTCATCGCCCGTAGCCATGCCATCGCGCACAAGTCGCACAGGCTGTGAAAGTCCATCCTGTGGCGGCCATTCGGCGCGCCGTGCTACGTCAGCGCCTCCTCCGCCCACCGAACGGTCCGGCCTTCCGGCGATCTCACGTGTGAGCCGATCAGCACCGTACCGGGTACGGCAACCACTCCCACAACGCCACCGGCATGCCCTCACGCCGGCACAGCTGGTGGATATCAGCACTCCCCGGGACAAGCTACGGGACTTTCGGCGTTCGCGGCGTTCCCCACACGAACGGTTCCTCAGAAGTCAGAACCAACCCGGCCCGGCCCCACACGAGCCGGCCAGAACACACATACGCGCGCGCGCGCGAGATACCATCTCCAGGAAAGGTAGCTGCCGCCCATCATCCCAGGCCACACCAGCCGCGGGAAGCGCGCGGGATTTCCCGCCCGCCGCATCGCGCCGCTCGAGACAGCTCTTCCCCTCAGTACGAGGTGACAGCCCCGGCCGGCGGCCGCCACCCGAGCGGCGCACGGCGGCCGGGTGCGTCTTCACTACCCCCGGTGGGTGTCCCTGCTGGATGGGCCGCGGGCGGTAGAGGTCAACGTGGTCTTGATGAAGTTGCCAATAACTGTCGTTAATCATTACTACGGGACCGGGGCTAGGAACGTCAGAGGAGCTTTGATGAAGTGCTCAATAACCATCCCTGACCAACGCTGCCAGGCGACGGTAAAAGATGAGTTTTCGAAATTAGAGGTCCACAACGGATGGGAACCGACGTCAGCGACGGTAACAGCTGATGTTGCGACATCAGCGAACGCTAACAGCTGCTGTTGCACACATCAGTGAACGGTAACAGTTGCTATTGCCGACGTCATTAAGCGGTAACAGCCGCTGTTGCACACATCAGCGAAATGCAACAGCTGCTGTTGCGGACATCGGTGAACGGCAACAGCTGCTGTTGCCAACATCAGTGAACGGTAACAGCTGCTGTCGCACTCCAGCACAGGAACAGCGCGGTAGCGGGCGGCGGACGCAACCTGCCGAGCGGCACGTACAGGGGCAAAGCGTGCGGTAATGCCACGGGCACGGCCGGAGCGCCGGGGCGGGGCGATTTTTTGTGCTCGCACGCGGCTCGCCATCAGCGCTCGGACGCAATCGTCAGCGAGAAGAGAGGCCATTCATTGGTCGAAAAAACCCGGCGCCGCTGGCTCGGCCCAGCTGACGCAAAAGACGTGACAGTCGGGGCGGGGTGGCGGTGGTGGAAATACGCCTTTGTGAACATTAGTCGAGATTTACGTGATCATTAGCAGCATAAACAAACCGGACGAGGAACGGCGACGCAGTAGCAGCATGAAGCAGCATGCAGCAATGGGGGAGTGAAAAACGATGCAGCAGTACGACGATCCACTGAGAGGCAGCTGTAACGCCATCATGATCGGCTGACTCCGTAAAACATCCTCGCAAAGAACCGCAGTCAGCTCCACAAGCAACTCTGCCACCCGCGACCGCTCGCCCACTTCCTTATTGCGGGTTTCGCGGCGCTTCAGCGATGCCCTCCGCCGGCGACGACGACTTTTAGGGGGCGACCCTCGGCGGCGCGAGCGCAGACGACGCTCCGCCGCGCCGCCGCGCCGGACGACCCCGCGGCCGTCACCGGCGCGTCCAGTCTGGGTCGGCGCCGGTGTCGGCGCCTCCACCTGGCTGGCGGCGCGGCGCTCGCGCCGCGCCGCCGGCCCTGACCTTCAGTTGCGTCACGACCCGGCCCAGACGCGCGGCGTCACCGCCGGCGCCGGCCGAACGGAGAGGGAGGGAGTGGCGCTGATCGCGCTCGCAGGCCCGCCTCGGGGAAGGCTGCGACGCTGCGCTCATGGCGAGGCAGAGCGTACATCTGGGGATAGCGGCCCATGACGTAACCCGAATGACGGGAAATGGCTGGAGCCTCCGTGCTCTACCGACTTATAAATCGCAGTTTGCGGGTCAGCAGAGGGCAGTGCTGCGCTCTGCAGCGGCACCCCCATGGGAGAAAGGTCCAAAGCATTCGAAAATGTGCTTCAACTGCAAACGCGGCCGCAGCCGGAAACAGTAGTGATGCTCTCGCGACGGCCATACTTCGACTTAAACGGGGGAGTACCAGTGCTGTAATAATCGCGCGGGACTAGCTGTCACTGCTATCGTCACCACAAAGGTCACCCGGGCCGCGCCACCCACGAAACACGCGCGTCGTTTTGATAAATCTCACCTCTAAAGAAGACGTTTCAAGCTATCGCCATCGCTAACTCACAGCCGTCACCATCCGTACCGCGGTGACCGGCAGCCAATCACGGAGGCGTCGCGTCATGAATGAGCGGGTCCCGACCGCTCCCGCGCGGGCGAGGCCGACACGAGCGGCCCCTCCCGCGGGGCTCATCGCGGCTCCCATCACTCCAATTTCCCGGCACAGCGAGGAGTTCCCCAAGGCTCGGCTCTCCAGCGGTCACCCGGAGACCGGATCAGACCGAACGGGAGCGGGTGCAGACGTCGCCGCAGCAGCCCCTGGCCCGCCCATACGTGGAGCGCGCTCGGGGCCCCGCGAGCCGCCGGTGCGGGCTCATGGGTCAGCTCTGCGTGCCCCTGTACCCCTCCCCCGCACCCCACCTCCAAGGCTCAGGGAAACCGTGTTTACCAGACTGGTTTTCGGTGGTCAGTTAGTCACGCACTGACCTGACTGCTTTTCGGTACTCAGTTGGTTAGTTACTTGCGCACTTCACTGACTGGTTTTCGCTGGCCAGTTGCCTAGCTATTCAATTTTAAGGGCGCGTTAACTGCAATGGCTATTTGCGCCCATTTCTTCTTCGGTGACCTTCGGTGACCTCCAGTGGCCAACCGGAAACTGGACCACGCTGGTGCGGTAGGGCCGTGACCTGGCGTGCACGTCACCTTAAATCAAAGCGGCAACATTTGCCAGTAGAACCAGGCTTGCTCTGCCAAGCTGATGGCATCCTACTGCAAGCTCCGCAATGCCCGCGCGATATTCGATATTGCTGTTAGCGTTAGACACACTTCCAAAAACGCGCATACGTCAGACACCGCATGCGTCAGGCCGGGCGCATTCTGCGGGCGCCACACGTGTTCGGACTGTGCACACACTGCAGATTCTGCATCCGACACAGCGCCGTGACGTCACGGCCGGCCGGCAGCCGGCGCAGCATTCGCCGAATGTCTGGGAGGCCCGCGCGTCAGCCGCGCCGCCGCGGCATTCCGCGGCGCTTGCGGCTCATCCCAGACTTCCGGAGGGCCGTCTGCGGCCCGCGGGCGGCGGCCCGGCCGCGCCCGAGAGCCATCGATCCCGCCCGCCGCATCCGCCCGCTAACGCGCGCCCCCGCTGGGAGAGCGACGCGGCGCGGTGGGCACGCTCGGAGCGCAACGCTGACGCTCAGAGCGTAGCGCTGATGCTCAGAGTGCAACGCTGATGCTCAAAGCGCAGCGCTGATGCTCAGAACGCAACGCTGATGCTCACAGCGCAGCGCTGATGCTCACAGCGCAGCGCTCATGCTCAGAGCGCAGTGCTCAAGCACAGAGCATAACGTTCACGCTCTGAGCGCGGCAGTAACGCCCTGAGCACAGTGGTAATGCTCAGAGCTCCGTGGTAACGCTCAGAGCGTGGTGATGACGCCCTGAGACGATGTTTTGCCCTCTGAGCGCGGTGCTGATACTCAGCACACAGCGCTGGTGCTCGGAGCACAGCAGACTGCGCGAGCGCACCGCTGACGGAAATCCCCACACCACTGACGCAACCGCGCGTCGCCCGCCGTCGCGACACAAGACAGAGAGTGAGAACACATCGCCGATCGTGACAACACAGCGCGATACCGCGTGGGGCGGGCGTGCCGCCGGGGGGAAAGTGGAGCACACGCGCGTTCAGGGAAGCCCAATCAATGCCGGACCGGTCGAACGTGTCACCGGCCGGGCGGGGGCGCGGCCGGCCTCACCTGAGCGCGAAGACCGCTTCCGGGAGGAGCCCACCGACCACCGGCGAATGAACTCCATCGGCGCGAGCTCGGGGCCTCGCGCCGAGCTGGGGCCGTGCTCAGGGGCCTCGCTGTCACCAGGGCAGCGCCGGCCTGTATCAACACGGCGCAACCGCGCTACCCGGGCCTCTATCAACACATGCCAAGCGCGTCGGCGCCGGCTCCGTTCACCGCGGCAGGGCCCAGTCGCCGGCGCCCGCGTCACCACCTCGTCCGGCGCTGCTGCCGCGCCCGCACCGGCCCGTGCCGCACGCGGTCCACTGCCGCCGCCGAACGAGCGCCACAACCCCTCCCGTCACCAGCCGGCGCGCGACTGTCCGGCCGCCGCGCCGCCGCGCCGCCGACACCGCCGGCGGCGGGGGCGGGGGCGGGGGCGGCGGCGGCAGCGGCGGCGGGGGCGGACGCCAGGGGCGGCGCCGTCCGGGTCGCGGTCACGACCGCAGGGCGGACGTGACCGCCACGGCCGGCCGGTGACGTGAGGGCCTGCTGGACGTGGGCGAGACCGAGTGGCCGTGATGCCGTGGCGGGGTCCGGCGGCGCGGATGGCCCCAGGCCGTCTCGCGCCGCCGCCGGTGGGGACCCTTCTCGCAGCCCAGCTGCCATTCGCAGCTCAGCCACGCCTTCGGCAGCTCTGAACAGCGTGCGGTTATCACCATGCTCCTTCTCCCCGATGGATGGCGAGTCGCCCGCTCAGATACGCGGTTTCCATCCGAACCGACTGGGTGTGGGTGGAAAATGGGGCGGGAAATCACCCGAGAGTAGGCTGAACACGCCCACCTTTCTAAGTTCTGCACCAACGCTCAATCTCTATAGAACATCCTCTTTAAGATTTTCGCCACTCTGTAGTTCCTCGTAAATATGACGGACGTTTGACAAACACGGTGACAAGAAAATACAAGAAATCAGGAAAATCGGAATCGCTAATTTACGGAACATTCGCATGTTCCGCACAGTTACTTATCATACCGATGGGGGGCGCCGGTAGTGTAGTGGTTAACGCGTAGGCGTTAACCACTGCGCGTCTGGGAAACCAGAGGTACGGGGTTCGATTTCCCGCGGTGCCCGCCCTTCCTGCCAGGGTGAGACGCAGGCGACGCCATATAGCTTCAGCAGCTGAGTGCGTCGTAAAGCCCCAATGACACACACACACTTCAGCAGACAGGGTTGTCTAATGCCGGAGTGCCGGAGAGGCGCAAAACGCTGGAGCAGTGTAAAACGCCGGAGTAGTGCGATGCCGAAGTGTTGCAAAACGCGCAAAACGCAATAGAACGACGAACGTAACGTGCTGACACCCATATTTCAAAACGACTGCGTCCCACTTTTCACTGATGCAGTATTTGCCCACCATGAGCATCCATCCATTACGACATAGGTGTGACAATGCTGGAAGATTATCGTCGTCAACTATACGAAAACTAAAATGGATGACGTGTCTTCTTCGTCTGGAACATTTCGCCGAGGGCAACATTCACCGCCCCTGGCCTACAGCTGGGGTGGCACGGCTGACACTATTTGATATCATTTGAAACGAGGTCCAGTCACTAAGGGTACTTTTCCCTCCAATGTTAAGTCCTACGTTTCAATAGGCAGAACGACTCTAGCATGGCAAGTCATATCTGAATATTATTCTATAGCGTCGGATCTCAGCTGTCCCGCCGTAGCTATCGGATTTCATTCTTAACGGTTTCTGGGGCGAACGGTTTTACACCATCGCTGCTTCAACGCCACGGACACGGCACTGATCGCATACGCAAGTTCACAGCTCAAATTCTTCATTCAACCCCATCAGTACACCTTTTTGCCTCTTTAACGCTGTCCGACCATCCGTCGGTCACCTGCGGACCAGGCAAGTCACAGCGCTCAGGTCGGTGGGCAGCATCATAGAACCCGCCGGCTCGCGAGCGAAACTCTCCCGCCGTCCTCGCGGACATCGATTTTCCATCCCGTGACGTCACCGCGCGCGATGTCGTCACACACGCCGCCATTCGCCGCCCGCATCTGATCGGCCGCGTCACGCGGTTCCTGCGACGTCACAAGATCGCACGTCGCCGACGCCCGGCTGCGTCGCCGACGCAATAACAACGGAATCGATGGCTGTCAGCACGTGTCCTGCGACGTGTGTCGACCGCCACTGTGCACTACTTGTTTACAGCTGCACTACGTCGCGGCCGGTAAACAGTCATACTGGCAGCCTCCGCATCTGCTGCGGCTGCCGGTGTAGCGCGGGGACTGGCAAGGTGGGGACGCATATTAACGCAGCGCCGCCAGGTGTCGTTCCCCTGACGCTTTTGGTTTGTGGAAACTGAAAAATGCGCTGCACTGTTCCCCATGCGCTGATGGTTTGGGGAAAATGAGAAAATCATAAACACTAGTTATTTCGTTATCGCTTCGGTGGGAAATTTTCGGACCTGCCGGGCCTCTGACAGCAAAGGTATGAAGCTGGGCTAGTGCTGGTGCCAGACACCACCAGTCATAGAACTTCACGCTCCTCTCATAGCAAAGGTCTCTCCTGTTGGGAAAGTGGCAGCACTACAAAGTACCTTTTACAAAACTTATCACACGTATGGGACTAAATCTGATGCTCGGAAAGTGACATCTCCAAAAAGCATCGTTTACATGAATATGTTGCTTACTTCACCGGTTTGGAGCTTCATGTACCAAGCCTTTTTCGTCAGCTCAACTGGGTGGAAGAACGCATCCTGCTTATCCCGACGCATGCTGAATCAACTGCAACCATGGGATTGAAGCCACGCTTTGTCCTACATGACACTCTTTCTCTTTTTGTGAGAGAACGCAACCCATATCAATGGTCAGGCCGTGGATTCGAACCCGAGCCCTCCACGTGGAAGCCCAAGACGCTAACCACTCGGCCATCACATGCCGGACCCCCCTGGCATCGTGCATGCATATCTGGATACGTTAAATAACGCCACCTCGAATTACGCTGGTCTTTAAGACGCACTCAGAGTAAATGATCGTCAATCTGATAGACAGGCTGCCCAGGCAAGACTGCATTGCTGAAGCCGAGACTCCAGACCCCCGCTTCAGTGATGACGTTCGAGGTCCGCGCAGCTGCATTGATCCATATCCCTCGAATTGCCGAGGCTGTTCGACAGGAGAATGCAAACGAAGTGTCCAAACGCGGTCCGTGATGCCTTTATGACGTTGGTGAGGCAAGCATAAGGAGCCTTCCAGCTCTGCCTTTGCGGAGTGGCTATGAATGGCCCTCCACCGGGGGTGAGACGGGGGGGGGGGGGGGGGAACGGGAGGCTGCTTCGTGACGAGTGTGACTACGCCCGGGGGGCGGCAAACTGAGAACGCCGGCCAGCCACGAGGACGACGGCAGTGGTAAAGACAAGCAACAGAGCGGAAAACGAGTGTGCGTTGACTCTGGTATTGGTAGGCACCCTTCTTTTTCAAAAGGGAACAAGGCGGACATTGCCAAGTATCCCGTTATGTCGCACCAGCTACCGCTGAGGTCGTATTAGTACCCAGGGCCCATGGAGCAACCGGGGTTTGAACGGCATGCACACGCACACGCACACGCACACGCACACGCACACACACCACACACACACACACACACACACACACACACACACACACACACACACACACACACACACACACACACACACACACACATATATATATATATATATATATATATATATATATATATATATATATATATATATATCATATACACACGACATTAGTGCTACAACAGTGCCTTAGCGCCCCGCCGCCGTCAACCATGAAATCATGGCAGCGAAATCGCCGACTCTTCGGCGGTTTGCATAGATTCTCAGCTCTTTTTCATGTAATTTAAAGAAAAGAACGTTTCGCAGGACTTTGTGGCTACGTACTCGCGCATAATTTCTGACCCTCTAAGCGCTTTGAGCTCCTGTCGTACAAGCATATGAATACTCTGATAAGCCTATATATAAATGTAAACCTAAAACATAAATATTTTGCAATGTCTTGTGCTTAATTGCGAACTAGCCTCTACCTGCCGTCGCTTTACGCACTCTCCTGAGCAGCCTCTGGGAGGACGGCAGAACCCCTGATCATTCACTGTTCCCCCACTTTACTGCCCGGCATCATTGATCACGAGAACGTCAGCCAATCACTGCACACACTGCTGCGCCCCTCCTCGTCAACGATTCATGACATTGCCAATGGATTTTTCAGCCGCGCTGCTGACTGCCGTCAATGACCGCCCCCGATCCGAGTGCTGCTGCGGAGGCAGATCAATAATGCTTTTATCGGTCGCCGTTTTTTTAGCCTGTAAGGCAGAACATGCAGTCATTTCCATGTTTCTAAATATTTGCATCTATTTTGCGAAGTGCGTTGGGGGCGAGTGTCAACGTTTTCCACGGGTCTCAGCGAATGCTTAGACTCGTGATGGGATAAACGGGCAGCAGGACGCGATAACTGCGCCACAAATGCCTGACTTCCGCTCGATAAACGCGTCACAAATGCTTGACTCCCGCTAGCTAAACGCGTCACAAATTCTTAAATTCCGCTAAATAAACGCGTCACAGATGCTTGACTCCCGCTACATAAACGCGTCACAAGTGCTTGACTCCCGTTAGACTCCTCTCCGATTGCGACGGAGGAAGACCTACGCCAAAGGTAGATGCTTCGCCGCGGGTAGCGATTATAAAAACCCCACGCGGTGCGCGGGCAATTCTTATAGCCGTGGGTTGAAGTTCCCACCTCTTATACAGGTTTGGGAGTCAGCTGTTGGTCGATGCCTCCGCAATTCATAGAAAAGGTGGGACGCATTTTTACACGCCGCTGGCTGCTAGTGAGAATAGCAGTGGCACGTGTAGGAGCACCGCCGATGGATTTGCCACTCGCAGAACGCGAAACTCTCTTCTCAGCTGCCTTCCTGCGACTCCCCGAAGGGAGAGGTGGGAAGAGCGTTGGGCTGTTGGTGATAACAGCGCCACACCTCGCAAAAGTCGCGCAATTCGAGTTGACTGATTCTTCCGCTGGTGGATTAGGTTGCGGTCAAAAGAAGGGGGTTCCCCACAATGGCTATGAATAATTGATCCCTCGGCACTGACAGTAAATTCGTTCACCGAGGATACCGTTGTCAGAATCATCCCAGGAACTCCAGAAGGTGAGGTTCGCACAGTCGCCGGTCAGGGATTCCGACAGCTACGTATTTTACGTCGACGAAGAATTCCGGGACAATCCAGCGCAAGTGGAGACTTCGGGCTGCGTGATTACGCCACAATAAACCTTAGATTAGGTGGCT